TGCAAACCTGGTGGCCAACTACAAGAACCGTCTGACCTCTGTGATTCCCAACAAGGGTTTTGCCACCAAGTACTAAGTCATGTTTTGCAGAGGGGTCAAATACTTATTTCCCTCATTAAAATGCAAATCAATTTATAACATTTTTGACATGCGTTTTTCTGAATTTGTGTGTTGTTATTCTGTCTCTCACTGTTCAAATAAACCTACCATTAAAATTATAGACTGATCATTTCTTTGTCACTGGGCAAACGTACAAAATCAGCAGGGGATCAAATACTTGTTTCCCTCACTGTAGAAACTGGGTTCCACTTGCGGACAGAGCAATGAATTCCACCGTCGACTTTCGCTTTGTCTTCATCTCTTGGTGCCCTCCCGTTGAGAGTCGCTGCCGTCCACCCCCCCCGCGCCTCCGAATAGCACGGTTGGTTACGTACGGTGCGAAGGAAGTTCAACGTACGTATGACCGTGAGAAGCGCGTCCCTTAAGGAGTTCCGCTCAGAGGCTTCTTCCAGGGATGCCAAGCGGTGGAATGGAAGTTTCTTGCCGCAGCTGAGCTCAGTGCAGGGCAGGTCGACGCGATCCGTTCCACGGTCATGGGGACTCGCGAACTGGCCGCTGTCATTCCTCCAATTAGGCTCGCTGTTTTGCTCATATACGGTTCATTAAATGACATTATGAGAGATATATACACAGGGTCAGAGAGAGCGAGAGAGAGAGAGACACACACACGCATATATACGAACACATAAATACGTACAGTGCGTGTTGTTTGCAAAACAAAGTTTTATCGCGGCTGTTATTTCGCTTGTCGCGTTGTAGGTTTCCAGGGGTTAATTTCCAGCCCGGTAATAATAATAATAATGGATAATTTATCTGCTCGATGCTTTGGTAACGCGTAAATGTGATGCATGGTGCACGAGCTTTAATGATCACGGCCCGTTTGGATGTCCATCAATCTACAGCTCCACCAAGCACACGCCGGGCGCTCTGTGGACGTGTGTGTGTGTACCTGTGTGTGTGTGTACTTGTGTGTGTGTGTGTACCTGTGTGTGTGTACCTGTGTGTGTGTGTACTTGTGTGTGTGTACTTGTGCGATAGTGTAGCGGTTAGCGCCGTGCGCTATGAACCTCGATTCCCGCTCACGGCCAACACCAGTGACGATTATCTGAACCGGTCCCGGGCCTCCCCAAGGTCGACTCAGCCTCAAATGAGTACCTGGTGCGGTGTGTAAACATTGCCACTAGGGAGACAAAGGCGGTCGGGCGTGGTGCTGGCCACCCACCCCCTCGTGTACCGTTCCGGCTTTCATAGGTGCTCGCTAACAGCACTTGCCCCTACAGTCTGTTAAGGCTATACGGGGGATCTTTGTCTACTTGTGTGTGTACTTGTGTGTGTGCGTGTACCTGAGTGTGTGTACTTGTGTGGGGAGCGGTAGTGTAGCGGTGAGCGCGCTGCGCTCCGAACCTGCCCACCCGAGTTCGATTCCCGCTCACGGCCAGCACCAGTGATGACTATCCGAAACGGATCCTGGGCCTCACCTGGGTAGACGCAGGGACCGAATTTGGTGCTCGCTAAACAGCACTCGCCCCAACGGCATGGCCGTGACTATACGGGTTGAACTTTGTGTGTGTGTGTGTGTGTGGCCAATGTCGAGGTCTCCTGGCCACGACGAGAGGGCTTCAGCAGAGAGAGGAGAGAGAAAGAATTCGTGTTGTTGTTTTTTTTTTTCGCTGTTCCTACTCCCCTGTTGAAGTGGTTCACTCTATGGGCCCGTCGTTTTGGTTGGTACCGCAATCTCTAACAATGTTTTCGCGTCACCTTAAACAACACGACGAATCAGCCACCCCCCCTCCCTCCCTCTCCCAGTCATCCAGGCGAAATGCGCCGTCGTTCATTCGAATCCAGATGTGATGAATGTAGAAATTAACCATTTTTTTTTGCCAAATGCAGTATCAACAAAAATCATAATGGCCGTCATAAGGCCATAGAACCTGTGGCTGGACAACCCAAAGAAAAAATAAGACTTCTACCTTTTAGTAAAAAAAACCTAAACTTCATATTTCAAGATCCACGATGCGCTGTGTGGTGAATACGAGACGGTGAGTCCTTAATAAATGACGGTGACGAAGCGGCTCCTTAAAAAGAGTCCCGATGCTACTCCGGAAACGCAGGTTTGACGAGGCCTGCCATAGATCAACAACAATTAGAGTGTTTCGAGTTATATATATGTGTGTATTTATGTATTTGTTATTTTAAATATGAAAATGCGTGGAGTTGATCAACTTAACAGGTGACAATGAGGGCACTTTTCACAACGCCAGTTTAAATCGTTCGTTTTGATGGACACTTAAAGACACAATCCGCAGCGGTGTGAAATGTGGCCACGTAACCCAAACTTGGGACCCAAATAGTGAACCCAAGAAGAAAAAGATCCCCCTATATAGCCTGAACAAACTGTTGGGGCAAGTGCTGTTAGCGAACACCTATGAAGAGATCGGCACGGCACACGAGGGGGTGGGTGCCGACCAGCACGCCCGGCCGCCTTTGTCTCCCCAGTGGCGATGTTTACACACCGCACCAGTTACTCATTTGAAGCTGAATCGAGCTATGGGAGGCCCTGGACCGATTCCGCTAATCGTCACTGGTGGTGATCGTGAGCGGGGATCTAACTCGGGAGGCCAGGTACGTAGCGCAGCGTAGCGCTCACCGCTACACTAAGCGCTCCCCCACCCATAGATAGCCATGGACATGCGCAGCGACTCATAGAGATACATAGGCGACTCGTAGAGGTGCGTCGAGACATATACGGATATACGAGCGATGCATTAAGGACACAAGGCACGGTCGTGCGTTTGTGGCCATGCCACCCAAACTATGGACCCAAATAGTGAAGCAATGCGGTCTGCGCTCCTTCAACGGAGGAGGAGGAGGAACAGCAACACGACAAAAACTCTCTCTACTGTATCTCTGCTGAAGACCTCTCGTCGTGGCTTGGCAGACAGACCTCGGCATTGAGGCTCCTGAAACATCTTTATGCTCGTTTTGCTGCTGCTGCTACCGTCGTAGGCAATAATATAATTCATCGTTTACCTGTTCGGATTGCGTTTAAAACCTCACCGTTATGCGCATCCTCCGATGGACATTTTGGCCGGATTAATTTTGGCGGCCGATTGCGACTGAGAAGGGCGTTTCGTATTCTCCGCACTGTTTGAACCGGGCGCCTGCGTCTCTCTTGTGACACTCGTCACAAGAATAGACAAATAGACCCTCAGCTCGTTTTAACGCAGTAGCATCTATATATCATAAATATACACATATCACAATATGCGCTTGTGCATCTTCTTTGGTTCTTTCGGTAAAGTCACGTAGAATGAGAATAAAATAATACATTGATAAAATAAAATAACACAATAAAATTCTCACGACGTTTCGGCCACAACACAAGCGGCCTTCATCAGATGAAGGGACGAGACTGTCTGGTAGGACAGCGCTGGAGTGACTTTACCGAAAGAACCAAAGAAGATGAATCATTGCAGTCACGAAAGCTTCAAATCGAAATTTAAGCGCTTATGCATGTTGAGTGTGTTTGAACGGTACAATTAACTTTTTATTTAAAGCTTTCGTGACTGCAGGGATTCATATTCTTGGTTCTTTCGGTAAAGTAGAAGGGAAACAATAAAATAAAAAATATATATAAACAATAAAATTAACGTCATTCTTTACGAGTCCATTGGGACCGTATATGGCAAAACATATTAATAATTAGAATTAAAATATCCCGGTTCTGTTACGAGGATTTGTTTTGTATACAATTAACGCATTGATCCTATGAGCTCCCATAGATTATACATTGAGATGTATATGCGATGTAACACGCGTTATTTAACGAAATTGTGTGTAGAATTATGTACGTATACGTACGTGCATATGCATGTATATATCTTGCAATGCACACTGATTGCTACATTGTATCGTCACGTGATTAAAAAAAAGTTATTTGTGGTGCTTTTTTGTTTGTGGCGCATAATCGCCAATTTTAACACCGAATCGCAGCACATGGATAATGAAAAGGGACATTTCCCGAAACGTCGCATTTTAAATGTGGTTTTTTTTTAATTCCTTAAAGGGCCACAGTGTTATTGTTGAACGTATAGAGTTGTTTTTTTTATATTTTCAAGATGTTTTTTTTCACGCATTTCACGAATGCGCGCTCTTGTGTAATAGTAGTTTATGTCACGTGTGCCTGTCGGCAATTTCAGTCGACGTTAGAGTACAACGCTTGGCTCTATTCAAATGATAATACAGTGTATATGTATATTGTATGTGTACCGCACGGTTCCTCGCTGGAGCCCCGTTTCAATTAGGGGCCGAAAAGCTTCGCATAAACAACTCCTATGTGTGTGTGCGGACGCGCGTGTGTGTACATGTGTGTAAGCGCGCGTGTGTGTGTGTGTGCGGACGCGCGCTTGTATGTGTGTGCACGCGCGCGCGTGTGCGCAGGAGTGCGCGTGCGCGTATTGCAGCCTCGCTCCGCGCGGCCCATAAAAGAGCACAGAGGCTTGGCACGAGTGAGCTGCGGTCGTAGCACGGCGCGAGAGAGAGGGAGAGGGGGGCTGAGTGTCGCCGTTAAGTGCTGCGTCCAGGGAACGAGCGAGCGAGGGGCGAGCGAGCGGGCAGAACGGAGCGCGTTCCCTTGCCGAGTCTTCCTCCTCCTGCTCATCATCATCATCACCGTCCCCCCCCCCCCCCTCCGTGTCCAACACCCGGGTGGGTTTCCCCATCGATGAGCGACGATTTCTGCGATTGGTCACGTGACCCACGGGGTGGTGGTTGTGGTGGTGGTGGTGGGGGGGCCTCCACCACGGGGCCCGCTCGAGGTAAATCGCTCGTGTGTTTGCGTCTCATTTCCCCACCTCCACCACCACACTGCCTCCTCCTACACCAAACACCCCCCTCCCTTCCTCCTCCCGCTCCACCTTATCATCATCCTCCTCATCCGCCGAAAACGCCACCGTCACCACCACCGCCTCCTCCTCCTCCTCTTCCTCCTCCTCCTCCTCCTTACGCACCGCGATTGCGCCCTTAGGCAGCGTGACGCGAGGGGAAGGCTTCTCGCAACTCAAAATGTCCCACGCATCACCATGTTCGGCTCCGTGAGCGCCAGCGCCGCAGCAGCCGCGTACGCGCAGAGGAGGGCGGTGGAGAGCGGAGGAGGTGGAGGAGGAGGTGACGGTGAAGGAGGGGGAGACGGCGGCGGCATGGAGTGCGAGGAGCGCGGAGCATACCCGGGCTCTGGACTCTTCCTCCCGAGCTGCCGTGCCTACTACGACCTGGGCGCAGTCCCCTCGTTCCTTCAGCCGCCGGGTGCACGCCCGGTCCCTTGCCACTACTCCGCGGTGCCGCAAGCGCGGGACGCGGCCGCCTTCAGGGAGTACGGCCTGCACGAGACGGCTCGACACTGGCAGCAGCATCATCATCATCAGCATCATCAGCAGCAGCAGCATCAGCAGCAGATTCATCATCATCAACAGCAGCAGCAGCAGCGTCGATACGTGAGCGATGAATTCGTGTTGCAGCAGCAGCAGCAGTTGCTACAGCATCAGCAGCAGCAGCAGCCACTTCCTGGGCCGCATTCTGCGCACAGCAGCAGCAGCAACAACAACAACAGCAGCAGCAGCATCGAGGCGGCATACGGGACTGATGGCGGAGGAGTCGCGCCGCTTGCCCCGAGCTGCAGCCCGTCTGCCGGTGGGATTTTCGGCGCAGCAGCAGCAGCAGCAGCCCTGCAGATCGGGAGGAATGGAATCCTCCCGCAAGGGTTCGACCGCTTCTTCGAGTCCGCGTACATCGGCAGCGGCGGCAGCAATAGCAGCAGCAGCAGTAGCAGCGGCAGCGATGACCCCAACAACAAAGCCGAGGCTGCTACGAGCGGTGGCCTGCTGCTACGGCAGCAGCTGCAGCAGGAGCAGCAGCAGGAGGAGCAGCAGGAGCCAGGGGGCGTCAATTCCCTGCAGCAGCAGCAGCGGCAGCGGCGAGTGCAGCGCGCAGCCGCCAAAGAAGATCGCGACAGCGGCGCTGAGTCTGGGAGTGCGGCGTCGTCACCAGCCGCAACCCGCGGAGCCGAGTCCAGGGCGGTAGGGTCCGGTACGTGGCGTGTCTGTGTGCCCGTGGCGTGCGTGTACACGTGGCGTGTGTGCGTGGCGTGTGCGCGTGGTGTGTGTGCACGTGTAAGAAGTGGTCCCTCTACTCGGGAGAGACCCTCGGGGGGGAGGGGAGGGGGGGGGGTCTCCACCCCCTCCCCACCGCAGTGATGCCTCAAGCTGGCCCACTCTGTATAGAAGGCACATTTATAAGCTTATAACACTTTTACGACCGGGGTTTTTTTTAATGTAGCTTGTAGGCGCCGCGTGGGTCATTGATATAGTGAGCTGAATACTGTAATTTCAAAAGCTTAATATTGCTATTCATCACTTTACGAGGAAACATTTAACTATTCATAACGCGCGTATAGCAGCTCATAAAGTGTATCGTTATGATATCCTATCCGCGGGTTTCGACAACAAATTAGATGCCCCGCGCTATTGTATCTACGCACGTGTGTACTGCGTGTGTACTGTGTGTGTGTACTGTGTGCAGGGGAGAGCGGTAGTGCAGCGCTTAGCGCACTGCACATCAAATCCGGCCACCCGAGTTCGATTCCCGTTCACGGGCCAACGCGAGTGACGATTATTTAGAGAAAGGCGGTCGTGCGTGGCGCTGGCCTATCGCCACCCACCCCATCGTGTACCGTTCCGTCCTTCATAGGTGCTCGATAACAACACTTGCCGCTGCAGTCTGTTCAGGCTATACGGCCGGGGCTTTGTCTTTGTTGTTGTTGTTGTTGTGTACCGTTCCGGCCTCCACAGGTGCTACTCGCTAACAATACTTGCGTCCCAACAATTTGCGAAAGACTAATACGGGGGGTGGGGGGTGGTATCTTTGCCGGTCGCGCGTGTATCGCAACGAGCTGTCGATAGCCCATTCGTCGTTATTTTTTTAAAAACGTCGTGGGTACGTTGGCTATGGGCGCCGCGCGCAAAGGCGACACAGGTTGCCTGCAAGGTCGACGAAGAAATGGTCGACGAGGGCGACGAGGGAGGACGAAAAGGGGAGTCGAGAGGAGGCGACGGAGAAAGAGAGAGGACGCTTAGGCGGCGCTCCGCGCGTGCAGGAAAGAAAACTCGAAACAATTTTTTTGTTATATTTTACCAGGTGAGATCCCACTCCGAAACGCACGTTCATTCTAAATGTGGATGAAAAGACAGGAGCTCCCCCCCCACCCCCCCCGGAGAAAATTCCACGCGATTACGGGGAGAGAGAGAGAGAGAGACGCAGACTCCGAATATAGAGCAGGCGTCAAGGTCGAGATCGAACCCACGAACTGCTGTGTACCAGGCGAGGGAGTTAACCGCTCGCCACCGCGGCGCCCTTATAGTGAGAAGAATACCCCCAGTGAAGAACTCTTGCAATGGTATCAACGAATCGAGAGCGATAACGGAAGACAAAAGGAGAGAGTGAGAGAAGACCTGGAATGGACGCATTCGACAAAATTCGCCGTTTGATGAATATTAAGGAAGGGCATTCCAGCGGGATCATTGGCAGAGATATCGAGAGTGAGTGCCGACGATTGGCATGTTGGGAGGAGCTGACGGGTCGTTTTGTGGGAATGACGAGGAGGGCAGAGAGAGAGAGAAGGAGAAGTGAAGGGTGATGATGGCGGTAGCCAAGGAACAGCAGGGAAGAAGGACTCTCATCTGGGCGTCTCACTTCGTAGGGCCCCTTGGTGGTGTATGGAGAAGTCGCACACATTCTCACGCGCGTGCGTGTGTGTATGTGGAGGTCGACTCGACCTCAAATGAGTGCCTGGTGCGGTGTGTAAACATCAGCACAGGTGGGGGGGGGAGACAAAGGCGGCCGGGCTTGTGTGGTGCTGGTCACACACCCCCTAGCGTGCCCTGGCAGCCTTCATAGGTGCTCGCTAGCAGCACTTGCCTCAACAGTATATGAAGGCTATACGGATAATCTTTGTCTTTGTCGTATTGATCGACTCACCCTTAATGAGTAACTGGTGCGGTGTGTAAATATCAGCACTGGGGGAGACAAAGGCGGCCGGGCGTGAGAGGTACTGCCCTCCCCCCCCCTCGTGTGCTATGCTGGCCTTCATAGGTGCTTCTCGAGTAATGGCTACACGGGGAGGGGGGTCCTTGTAAATAGGGCCACGTGTTATCATGGCGTTGCGATGCCATTTTTTTTTCCTGTCATGACGAGGCTGCCACGTGCTGACCCAAAGATCGTTCGAAGGGAGAAGTCCGCGGCGTATCCGCGTTGCTTTTATTGCTTGGCGTGGGCACCGCGACGACAGACGGTGCACAAAGACAAACAACAACAACAACAACAAACTCCACGGGAATATTCGGGGGGATGCCCCGTGTTCGTAGCAGAGAGAATGTCGGGAACATTCTAACAGCGACGGGTGTCGGATTTACGCAGTGACGGATCCGCCAAAAACGCAGTCGCCGCTGTAATTGGGCCGCATTTTTAGCGAAGTGAATCCTGGCTGAACACCCTTAATTAAGGGACGCATATACCTCGCTGCGGTGGCGAGTATTGGACTACATTTCGTTTTAAAGCTTTCGTGACTGCAGGGATTCATATTCTTGGTTCATTCGGTAAAGTCACCACGTAGAAGGGAAATAATAAAATACATTTTTTTAAAATGTCTTGCTTTGGTTTTCACACCTGATGGTGATTGCTTGTGTTGCAATCGAAACGTCGTGAGAATTTTATTTCTATTATTTTATTATTTCTCTTCTACGTGACTTGACCGAAATAACCAAAAATATTTGACTACTGTTATACATGTCCACGTGACAAGCCACTTCATTGAGCTATCATTTGTGGCCAGGTCGCTTCCAAAAAAACAGATATGTATAGCTCAATGGGGGGGGGGCATTAGCTGGTGAAATAAAAACAAAATGGCTTAGTTTGGTTAAATTAACGGGGTTACGTCTCGCGCGTTAGGCGCACTCGCGCAGCGGCGATGCGTTAAAAAATCTTTGTTCGTCGGAGGAACGAGCGAGGGGACGCCGGGGGGGCTTGGTGCCTTCGGTGTGGACGTGGAGACACGCTCTTGAGCCGCCGGGTCGCTGCGTTGAGAGCGCAGTCTGCTGACCGCTGACGCCACGGCGTCTGCTTCTAAATACACAGACAAAGGCCTCCCGTATAGCCTTAACAGACTGTCGGGGGCAAGTGCTGATAGCGAGCACCTACACACGCGCACATATAGATCCCCCCCCCCCCCCCCAAATGTAAAAATCAAGCAGGTTGACCAGAGTTAAGTTCGTATTACACAGCCAAAACATTCAACTCGTGTCAACAACATTAAAGGCGATTCAGCAGTTTGCTAAATGCACGTCAACAGCTCTGAGTGTTGCGCGGTGGTCAACGAGTCCGCGTATTCGTGAAGGTGCTGCCCGCAGTCCCCTAGGTCGACTCAGCCTCAAACAGCTACACGTGGTGTCCCCGGTGTGTGAACAAACATCAGCGGCGTGGTGTCGGCGTTCACCGCCCGCTTCATCGGGGCGCTGCTAGCTCGCTAACAGCACCTGACCCCAACACTGTGCCAAGGCTATAGGGGGGCCCTTTGTATTATTACGTCGCGTGTCTGTGCCTCTCTGTATGTACGCGCAGTAGTTGTAGCGGTTAGCGCGCTGCGCTGGACCTCACCTAGGTCGACTCAGCCTCAAATGAGTACCTGGTGCGATGTGTAAACACTGCTACTAGGGAGACAGAGGCGGCCGGGCAATGGTGTTGGCCACTCATCCCCTCGTGTGCCGTGCCGGCCTTTATAGGTGCTCGCTAACAGCACTTGCCTCTACAGTCTGTTGAGGCTATACGGGGGGAGCTTTGTCTTTGTGGGTGTGGCCGGTAGTGTAGCGAGGGTGGTGTTGGCCACCCACCCCCTCGTGTGCCGCTACAGTCTGCTGTACGTACTACAGTTGAACTTCTTCCGCGCCGTACGTAGCCAAACGTGTTAATCGGAGGTGCGCTGGTAGGACAACAAACTTAACACACAAGAAGGCTATCACGGGGATATATGTTTTAGTTCTCCCCAATGCAGCTCATCTCCGCATCTCTCCTGTCTGTCCAGGCGCTCATCGGCCGCGTAAGAAGCGCTGCCCCTACACCAAATACCAGATCCGCGAGCTGGAGCGAGAGTTCTTCTTCAGCGTCTACATCAACAAGGAGAAGCGCCTGCAGCTATCGCGCCTCCTCAACCTCACCGACCGACAGGTCAAGATCTGGTTCCAGAACCGACGAATGAAGGAGAAGAAGCTGAACAGGGATCGCATGCAGTACTTCGCGCCCAACCCGCTCCTATGACCCCCCCCCTCCACCCAAAAAAAAAACTCCTTTAAAAAAGCTTTAAAAAAAAAAGGTTTTAATAACAACTTCGTTTAACTCACGGTCGAGAAGCACGTCAATGATGCGTCACCTGCTCCCCCACATCAACGCGAACTTGAATTGATTGATTACTTCCCCAACACGGAGCAGGCGAATCGAGAGTTTAGGGACCGCGGCGTTGTTTACCTACACCAAATATATAAATAATAAGGCGTCCATACAAAATGTGAATTGCTTTAAAGTAGCGAATTAATTTGATTTGAAGCTTTCGTGACTGCAGGGATTACTCTTTGGTTCTTTCGGTAAAGTCACGTAGAAAGAAAACATCTGATTAAATAATAGCATACGACGTTTCGATTGCAACGCAAGCAATCATCATCAGGTACAAATGAAAGATTAAACGAACCTAGTGAACTTAGAAATATAATGCAATACAACACAGAGAGTCGGCTAATACAACAGTCAACACCCTACCTGGTTGATTACGTTCTTACAAAGATTCCTAAATTTGAGAGAGAGACAAAACACAGACACGGAGACACACAGACAGACACATAATCAGAGAGAGATAACAGAGACACACAGACAGAGATAACACAGATACACAGAGAGAGAGAGACACACACACACACAACATAGACACACAGACCGACACACAAGCAGAGAGAGATAACACAGAGACACACAGACAGACACATAAGCAGAGAGAGATAACACAGAGACACACAGACAGACACACAAGCAGAGAGATACTCACACAGAGACACACAGACAGACACACAAGCAGAGAGAGATAACACAGAGACACACAGACAGACACACAAGCAGAGAGAGATAACACAGAGAGAGACACACAAGCAGAGAGAGACTCACACAGAGACACAAACACAGACACACAAGCAGAGAGAGATAACACAGAGACACACAGACATACACACAAGCAGAGAGAGATAACACAGAGACACACAGACAGACACACAAGCAGAGAGAGATAACACAGAGACACACAGACAGACACACAAGCAGAGAGACTCACACAGAGACACACAGACAGACACACAAGCAGAGAGAGACTCACACAGAGACACACAGACAGACACACAAGCAGAGAGAGACTCACACAGAGAGACACAGACAGACACACAAGCAGAGAGAGATAACACAGAGACACACAGAGAGAGACACACAAGCAGAGAGAGACTCACACAGAGACACACAGACAGACACACAAGCAGAGAGAGATAACACAGAGACACACATACAGACACACAAGCAGAGAGAGATAACACAGAGACACACAGAGAGAGACACACGTGACTTTACCGAAAGAACGGAGTAGCGAATTATGCCGATTTTCATACAGGCATGCATCCGAGTATGCAAAATTTGGAAATGATTGGACAACAGGAAGTAGACTACATTTATATCACAAGATTTGACCACGACACAGGCATAAAGTTAAGTAAAACCGTTGAAAAAAAATTGAAAAAGGAGGCTCGCGCGTGGTTCAAATCGTGGGACGTGCGTGGCGAGCACTTTTTAGAATTCGTCCTCCGGAGGCACGCGACGAGGTATCGACGATGGTTTAGTGACAACGGCAGAAGCTGTTACGCGTGCATGCATGCACACATCCAAACGTACACATGCACACACACACACACATACGAACATAAGGGAGGCATAGGTCACCCCCCGTATAGCCATGAAGAGACTGTTGGGGACAAGTGCCCGGTCACTATAGCGAGCACCTGTTGATGGGGAGGTGGTCGGGTGGACAGCACCACCTCACGCCCGGCCGCCTTTGCCTTCCCCAGGAGGTGATGTTTACAACACTGCACCGGGCACTCGTTCTCAAAGGTTTTAGTCGACCTAATGGAGGCCCAGGACGCGTTCAGATAATCATCGCTGATGCTGGTCGTGAACGGGAATTGAACTCGGGTCCACCGCGTTCAGAACCCACTGCGTTAACCTACCGCTCCGCATGCAAAGACAAAGATCACCCGTATAGCCTGTATTAGACTGTTGGGGCAAGTGCTGTTAGCGAGCACCTATGAAGGGCGGCACGGAACACGAAGGGGTGGGTGGCCAGCACCACGCCCGGTCGCCTTTGTCTCCCCAGTGGCGATGTTTACACATCGCACCAGGTACTCATTTGAGGCCGAGTCGACCTAGGGAAGGCCCAGGGCCGGTTCAAATAATCGTCACTGCTGCCGAACCCGGGTCGCCAGGTTCGTAGCGCAGCGCGCTAACCGCTACACCACCGCTCCCCACACACACAGACACGCACACACACACACCTGCATTCACGTGCACACGTGCGTGCATACACTGGAGTGAATTTAACTTCTACACTGCATGGATTGCTGCCAGAGTGGTGTAACGGTTAGCACACTGGACTTGTAATACAGAGGATAGCTGGTTGAGATTCGATCTCCCGGGGCGGCAAGCTCCTTCACCCCCACCCCCCAGCCTCTGTCCACCCAGAGCAGTTTAAATGGTTACGCAGCGGTTCGTCTATAACCTGCAGGTCGCGTGCGGTGAAGCGTGGGCACTCCCACCTCTTGCCCAGCGTGTGAGTGTAGGCCAGAAGGGGTACCCTTCAGCGGTAATGGCTGGTGGTGATCTCTGGGTGCTAGGGCTCTCTCTCTGGTAGCAGTTGCGGGGCTGCGCCTCTACGCGTTTTTGTGTTCTGCACACAGATACGGCGGCTCCCCTCTGGCTTTAATACTGTTATCACTGCTGTTTTGAAAACGCTGAATGTACACACAGATAAAGGCCCCCCCAACCCACCCCCACCCCTGTATAAGCTTCTGACTGACTGCTAGGGCAAGTGCTGTTGGCAAAACACTGTTAAGTTCCGCACGGCCACACGAGAGGGGTGAAGGGGTGGGTCGCTAACACCCCGTCCCGGCCGCCTTTGTCTCTCCCCCCCCCCGCTGCTGATGTTTTACACACCACAGCAGGTTCAAATGTTTTGAGGCTGAGTCGATCTTGGCCCGGGGACGCGGTTCGCATGTTTGTGTCGTTAGCGGGGATCTTGAGCGGGGAATCAATTCGGCGCCCGATGTCGTGGCCTCAGCTCAGCTACGTTCGCCACCACGCAGTGCGCGCGCCCACGATGTTGTTACGCATGGTTTTGATATACAGGGTGTTTGAAAGAGATGGACCCGATTTGAAATCGCTATATCTCTGAAATTGGGTCCATACTTTTTAAAACACCCCGTACTGTACAGTGCACGGTGTAATTGTTCGGTGATAGCTTGTGTGCGTGTGTAGGGGGCGGTTGTGTAGCGGTTAGCTCACGCCCCCAACTTTCAGCACGAGGTCCACGGCTTCCCCTAGGTCGACTCAGCCTCAAATGAGTATCTGGCGCTCGGGAGACAAGGGCTGCGATCGTGTACTGTGCCGTTCCGGCCAATCGAAGGTTAAACTCGCTAACAGCATTTGCCCCTACAGTCTGTTAAAGCTATAGGGGTTGGGGGGTGGGGACTGTGGATCTTTGTGTGTGTGTGTGCTTTTGGGGGGATATTGGAAGCACGATGTGGCAGGGTGTGTGTGTGTGCGGTGACATTTAAAGGAACCACGCAGGGCCCAGCTCATTCGCAGCGAGTCTCGGGGTGCTAAAAGCTGTCGGACTGACCGCTGAGTCATGTTGCTAGCGGAATTTGCCGCAAAATAAAAAAAATACACGCATATATATATACACATATTTACAGAATCCAGGATTGATATTCTGTATACTGGGTGAATGAAATGTGACTGACGGGTTTTGTAAAACACGTGTTTTGCTATAATAATGGCCGGTGTCGCGCTGCGTGTTATGGTCTCGTGTTGTTGCGGGCATGCTGTTGAGCTGTACACAAACAAATGCATATTTTTACGCGCACATAATAATCATACACATATATATAACGAAACGGTTATTAAGCACTCGTGATGAAACGTTAAAACCCATCAAGCCATAATAATACTGTAATGTTTTAATTTTATTTTAACATCCAGGAGTAATCTTGTTACTACGTGTATAAGAATATTTCGCAATTAATGGGGGTTGGGGTAATACATATATGATACACGACGTCGAGATGTTTATTTTTTTTTGTTTAATAACAATGTATATATGCCATTACCATTCAATAAACTAGTATTATTGCAATAGTGAGGTTCGTATACAACAAACACACACACACGAACATAATTTTAATCGCAAAGGTTCGCTTTGTCACATGATTGTAATAATAATAATATATTCAAACTCGTTATTATCTCATCGTCAATCACATCATTATTATAATACCTTGTTTTTAATAGGGCTGCTTCCCACCACCTCCTCCATCACCCACCATACCAAGTAACACAACAACGTCAGTAGCGGCGTGATGATGTCACGCCACTCGCGTCACGTTCAAGCTGCCAGCGAAGATGCTCTCGTTTGTACCTGCGGATTGTGACATTATCCACAATATCGGGTTTTTTTGGGCGTTAGATCACGTAAATAGTAATGCGTCAAAATTCGATTTGGAGCTTTCGTGCCTGCAGGAATTACTCTGCGGTTCTATCGGTAAAGTCACGTAGAATGAAAAATCAATTAAATGAAAGCATACGACGTTTCGATTTCAACACGAGCAATCGTCATCAGGTACGAATGAATGAGAAAACAAAAGCTAGTAAACTTATAAATATAATGCAATACAACACAGAAAGTCGGCTAACATAACAGTCAACACCCTACCTGGTTGATTACGTTCTTCCAATGACACAGAGACACACACAAAGAGAGAGACACACACACATAGGCACTCTGTGTGAGTCTCTCGCTGCTTGTGTGTCTGCCTGTGTGTCTCCGTGTCTGTGTTTCGTCTCTCTTTCTCAAATTTAGCAATCGGCACATTTTGTTTACGTGACAAACTGCTCACTAAGTGGCGGTGTTGGGTGGTGGCGGGTTTAACGACACATTAATATATTTACGCGATAGAACCCAGCAACCTCTATTATGGATAACATTGGTCACGTAAGCCTACTACGTGTTAAACAGCTATTTATATTGTTCGTTTGATGCACACACGCACACGCGCGGGTGAATAAATGTGTAATTGTAACGCGTCTATTGGTGCTTTGCGCGTGTCGCCGTGTGTCTGTGTGCGCGCGCGTGGGGGGAGCGGTGGCGCAGTGGTTAAGCGCGCCGCGCTACGCATCCGGCGATCGCGAGTTCCGTCTCCCGCTCACGG